TTTAGTGAAACAACGGAGGAGGGAGGGAGGGAGGCGATCAGACAGAGGCATATGTGTATCAGCTGTATCTCAGCCGAGCGTTGATTTTATCTTTAGCGTTTACTCGTCGCATCGATAGCTGAGCTTAATCTGAACATGATATTAAACATGATAAATTTTCCTGTAGGGTGAGGAAACCCTGTGTATCTCCATTCATACCCCCCTCCCTCCCCAGCCTTTGATGTTCTGATCAAACATTGCATCACTGCCAGTTTTAATACTTTCGCCCCAGCAGAGTTTGGCCAATTCTCGCTCCATGTTGAGCGCTGAGAAGTGGCCTATAAGGCGAGCAGCAAGATCCAGACTGCAACCTGCCAAAGTGGCAGATGCTTTGGTCCAAGATGGCCCCCTGGGAGCCAGGATGGATCCACAGCATCTCAGGGCCAAGGCTGGAATCACAGACACAGTGTCAGCGCTGGCTGCCAGGGATATTTACACCATTTGTTTTCATACAAAGCAACATTCAGCAGATTTTCTCCTCTGAACATACAGAGGATTGATAGTTTCATCTTGTTGATGCACACTGTTTATGAGTCCAATTAAAAACATTTAGTAGAGCATCAACGACTATATTAATTGATCTATTTGATTCAGTATTTTCCTATGTAGCTTTTTTATTCTATTGGTTCATCAAATTACATTGAAATTAGTGATTTTTATTTTTTTATATTTAATTTAGTTAACTGAATCATGGTGTGTTAATATTTTTAATAAATATACAAATATTTTTCTTTTCCTCTTTTAATTTTTTTTCTTTTAATGGCACAGATGAGTAAAAATGTAGGTTTTTCTTCAGCAGTGGAGTATTGCGCTGTGAGAGTGAACAGAGGCCGTTCATGTTGGATGCTCAAAATTCACCTGGTTTCTAATTCGTTTTTCTTTACGTTTCCTATATCCGTCCCAATTTATTTATCAGAACTAAAGATTTTGCTAAATCTCCGTCTATATTCAGCTCGATCTCTGTGAAACTGTGTTATCTTTATCTCTCCAAACAGCTCAAGTCTTTGAACTTCAGACTCTGAAAAGTCAAGGTGCTTCTGCAAACATTTTTAAATGTTTAGTTTTTTTTTTTATAAACTGCGTCTCTGTAGGAGTCGGGTTGCATCTGGAGGTCAGAGGTCAACCTTGGAGAGGATGATGCTGTCCTGCTCATCCCTCCCTCTCTGGTTTTCTCCTTCCTCTTAACCTTTCTGTTCTCCTTTTCTCTCCTTTACCCCGCTTCTCCTCTCCCATCCTCCCTCCCATGTCTCCCCCTCTCCTCTCCGTCTTCATGAAATTCGGCGGCTGCTTGGCTGATAGCTGCTGGCTGGCTAGCGGTGGGGGATATAGCTTTATAATCCCTCCTCGTCTTCCAACCCGCCTCGCCACAATGTCACAGGAGCTTAATATTTGCCATTATTATTTGCTTGTTTTATTTGACTTGGAGGCAGCACAATGACCTGTCAGCACAGGCTTTATCCCCCCTCCGAGTGTCGTCCATTTCAAAGTTGACTACAGTAATCCACCAGCCCCCGATTCCGCTTAAATCCTGAAGCTTCCTTTTCTTTCCCCCCTCCTCTCACTCCTCTACTCCCTTCTCCTCCTAAATGAAATTACATATATCTGCCAGCTCAGAGTATCACAAATGTCCACACACTCACCGGTGTCCGCACACAAATCCACACGTCCGCCTTTTGTCAGCAGCAGCAGCGCGGTGGCCCAGTTCAAGCAGCAACATTTATTTCTTCACCAATTCTACTCAGATTGGAAATCTGACACAGAAACTCCCCCAAAAATGTATTTGTTGAGAAATTCAACAGAGCACAGCGTTATCCAGGCATCTGCTAAAAATAGTTTTTGTAGTTTATTTCTTTTTATCAGCTGAGAGGAAAATATAGAATAAACTCCTCAGCAGAAAGATTTAGCATCATTGTAGAGAATATTGATCTAGTTTCCGTTCTGCTTTTCATATGATGCAAAAAGGAACGGCTGATATTAACAGGTAAATAAGTCGGGATGCCTGTGGGTTTAAAATTGGAGGAGCTTTATTATAACTGTTTCTGTCAGATGAAGAGGCAGTACAACACATGAACACTGGTAAGAGAAAAAAGAAACTCTTCACACATAACTGTGTGCCTTATCCAAAAAAAATTTTTCCAATCGACCTAATTATGTTTCTTGCAAAGTTTTTCAGTCATAAAAGGAAAACTATCTTCCGATTCAAAAGAATCATCCCTTCTCTACAGGGATGCAAGATATAAAAATCTGGGCTGATATCCATGTCTGATATTACTATAACCATATCGGATATTTCCCCATCCTTTGAACACCGTTAAAGACCAACCATAGTGCAAAGTTTGGACCTCAGACACACAAGCAGACGAACTGGTTTCTCAATATAAATCAGCCTTTAGGAGTATTTTGCATCCAGCTGACTGGCAGTGGGCAGCAAAAAGCAGGTGAGGTGAAGTAAACCAGAGTAATCCTCTTAAACAGATGACAAGGCTGAACATTTCAGGTATATTTAGCATTTAGCTGTTGCATCAGGACTGTTGTTTTTCAAAGTGATGTGAACATGGCTGAACATTTCAGGTATATTTTTAAGTCATGGCTTTTAGAACTTATTCCTTGATAATAGGATTTGATCCATGATTAGTGTAGTTTATTCAGAATTTGTTTGAACCAGAGATTCGAGAGCTCTGGTGGCCTTAGAGAGGTTAAATCATGTTGAAAATCATCAGTTTAATGCATTAAAACTAATGATGGGTTCAGAGCAAACTGTGTTTTTAGTGTTTGTAGTATCTGGTTTACATGCAGTCTATAGTGGACACACATGAAGAGAAGTGGAGACGTCTTGCAGTGTGTTCTGAGCTTTTAGGTTTTGAGCACATCCAAAGCAACAAATGCAGAGGTGGGAAAAAACAGGGTTTCCAAGGGTCACTACAAATCATTAAAAGTCATAAAATTATTATTTTTTAATTAAGGCCTTAATTGGCATTAAAAGTAGTGTTGCGCCGATGCCATTTTTTTGGCACCAATACCAGATACCTGGCTGTGCAGTATCGGCCGATACCGATACCATAATAATGTAAAATACGTGCCATCATGGCTTTGTCAAGCTGCTGCCTACCTTTGTGAAGCAGGAAAAAATCTAATACAAAGTGAATCCAGTATAACTTTTTATTGCCTACCAGAAGTGGGTGACAATAGTTGAATAAACTTAGGGCTCTCAAAATGGTATCGGTGCCCTATTTGTTTGTACTCGCCGATACCGATACCACCATTTTAGGGCAGTATCGGTATCGGTGCAACACTAATTAAAAATAATTAAATGTGATTATCATGGCATTTAAAATGCTTTCTTTAAAAAAAGAAAAACGTTTATAAAAACGATTTTGTCAGATGTATCGCAATATATTTGCGCGGAACTGCCGATCATAAAGCCGTTTGTTCAGAAAAGAAGCTCGAGGTGGAGAAAAAGCCAAGAGAATGGGGAAAAAGCTAAAACGAGGAATTCGGGACATGGCTGCAGCCTGTTGATGGTAAAGATGACCAAGGATTTTGCCCTGTGTATATGAGTCATGAGTATATTTTCCTAAGAGTATTAGAAGAGCATTAAATTAGAGTTACTCATTTCTGTATTAACCCTGAAAAACCGAACTTTTGAGCCCATCAGAGAAGCTGATCTGAGAGACAGTCCCTGGAACCAAGCCGTACAGACTAACACAGGCCATAAACTGAATGAGCAGTCCACTCAGAATAGTAGTTATTCTGAACAGCATTTTAGATAAAATAAAACAATATTGTATATGTTCTATCCAAACCCATTAAATGGAAAACATCTGGTTTAAATCCAGTATAAAGCCTCTTTAAGGCAGTTTTTGCTATAGGCTATAAATTCAGTAATCCAAAAAATAATCAACAGTCTAATCAACAAGCAAAATAATATGTTAATTTGGTAGATAAGGGTTGCAGCCCCTAATAAACGAATGAATGAATGAATGAATCTGAATAGATTGCGTTTTCAGGTGTGATTTCTTGTTTAATAAGACGTTAAAAGGCAAGGCAAATTTATTTGTATGGCACAATTCAGTACAAAGACAATGCAAAGTGCTTTACATTATAAAAATATAGGATAAAGAAACAAAATAAAAGCAAGTAGGAAAAAATAAATAAAAAAATGCAGAAACAAAAAAGAAAATTAAAAACAGTTGGACTAAAGAAAATAAAGTTGAACTAATGTTTTAGTTGAACTGTTTAACTAGAACAGTCGAAGGCAATCCTAAACAAATGTGTTTTTAGTCTTGATTTAAAGGAACTCAGGCTTTCTGCACTTTTACAGTTTTAAAACTAACATTTTCTGTATAGACCAGGAAACTTCTAATTGTGCATCTCTAGTTTGAACTATAGCACACAGATCTGTTCTGTAGAGAAAAAAAAACAGAACAGCAAAATGCTGTAAAACAGTCCTATCATTTACTTTCTTGACTGATCTCAGTACCATAAACCTCTGCTGCCAATTTTACATCAACTGACTGAGAGATGTGACAAGATAAACACAATAGTTAAAGAAAGAAAAATAACCGACTTTTCTGAGGGATAAAACCTGCTAATCCTGTTAGATCTTTTGGAGTGTTTTTCGTTGGATCATACAGCGTTTCTAAGATCCTGTCGGACAAGAATGAGACCGATTCTGACACTTCAGGGTCCCCATTCGATGTGCTGCATCTGTGTCCGCTGTTAGCATCCCATTGCAGCCTGTAAGTAAGTTAGGGCATGGAGCTTTAGCCCCCAGGCATGGGCGAAGCTTACATTAGCCATGCGTTGGAGGCGTGCAGAGGGGTTCCACCCGACGGCTCGGTCCAAGAGACGGATATCACTCTTTAAAGGCAATGGATGCTAATCGCTGAGATAATCCCGTCCCTACTGAAGCCAGTGTGGCGTGGTGAAAAGTTGTGTGAATGTTTTTTTCTTCTTTTTAGGCAACAACAAGGAGGAGGAGGAGGCCATGATGCAGGAGTGGTTCATGCTGGTCAACAAGAAGAACGCCCTCATTAGGAGACAGAACCAGCTCTCTCTGCTGTATGTTCACCTTTTCCTATTATTTACTTTTCATATTTGTCTGTATACAGTAAAAACAGGAAAAAAAGCATCTCCTCTGTATCACACCACAGGAGAGCACTCCATTCAGCCCCTCTGTCTATGGGCTCATTGATTTACATGTGGAAAGGATATGAAATCAATAGAAATGTGGCAATCGCCACTCTATCTCTAGTCTCTTTGTATGTGGTCAGCTGCGACAGGTGGAGACACACACACACAGGCTTTTTCTTCATTTGCAGAATTTCAAAGCGAGCGAGTGGCTGGGAGATTGAAGTATTCATAATCACATTATATCGTGGGAAAGGCGAGGCTTTTAAAGTGGCCAATTGACAGAAGGGCTGATTATTAGCCCTTTCTGTTCTCTCTTTATGGGGCCGAGGAGAAAAGGCGCCTGTGAAGGACAAATTCTATTAGGAGCCGAATTAGCTCATTTTTTAATATGGCTGAAAGAGGAAGGAATTCAATTTGAGCTGCATAGACACACATCAAGCCTGCATACAGCTAAAACAACCTACCTGTCACCACACTCCCCCCCCACTTTAATTCCTGCTTTCTTTGTCACAAATACTCTTTGACCCAGGGCTGCACGAGTATCAGTTATGCGCAGTAGATTAATGTGAAGCAGGAGAAGGTTCGGCCGAGTGGCTGAATCGATGTTTATTGCAGGTTTCTTTAAGTACTTAATGATTTAGTCATTAACATATTGATGAACTTTGTGTGTTTGTGTGTTGTTCCTCCAACTTGCTGCAGGGAGAAAGAGCACGATCTGGAGAGACGGTTTGAGCTGCTCAACAGAGAGCTGAGAGCCATGCTGGCCATCGAGGGTAAGACAACTTCCTGTTTCAGTTCAGGGATTTGACTTTTGACCCTATGTTTAAAACCAATTAATTCCTTCTGATTATTGATTAATATATAGTTTATTATATTAATTACTAGCTGCTTTATTAATCTAATCCGTTACTAAGGTAGAAACTTAATAAAAACACTGCTTTTTTCAGCTTTCTTACAAAAATGCTCAGCAACAGGTGGGGGCTCGGCGGCGAAGTGTTAAACTATAAGCCAATATATAGAATATAGAAGTTTTTAGAATTCAAAAGAACCTCTTTAATGCATTTCTGGGTTCTCAGATCTAAAACAAATAGAAGATCATAAAGAAGTTTTTTCTGAATTTGTTCATTTCAGGAAGAGAAAATGTGATATTTACTTTACACGTAGAGGTAAATATATGGCGAGTTTAAATTTAAAGGAACGATGTGTCCAGAAATTTGAGTATTGAGCCAAAGCCCACCATGACCAGGAAATGAATCCTGACATTTAAAGAAAGAAAAATCCTGAGAGGCTGAATGGTCTCAGTCTGGGTCAGAAGGCGACAGAACCAGAGAGAAGATATCTGATGGAACAGCAGACGGCCATCGACTCCTCCTTCAATATCATCAATAAGATTTGAGGCATTGTGTCCAGAAATAAACAGTTTTTAGAGGCTAATCACAGGTTTAGCGCCCCTAGTGGCTAAAAGTGCCTTTAAAATATAATTTATGATCATTCATTCCATAAATATATATACTAATATATATAATTGATCAATATTACAGCCTCTATCTGGAAAGACTAACATTAAAAATGTTTTTTTGGGATAATATTCTGATTTTTCAGGAGTATCTGGACTTATGGGCCTTCACTGCCTTCAGCCCCCTCTACCATTCAAACCCATTTAGCCTGTAGGATCTGTAATAGCTGGTACTGGTAACCAGTACACGTCTGGGTTTTGTTTTTGGTCAAGCTCATATTTTCCTCCCATCCTGCCTCCTGATCCCCCTTCATTTAGGGCCTGAAGCAGAACTATTTAAATTCCGCTTCTGTTTCTTGATGAGGATTAAGATGCGAGGCTTTTCGCTCTGTGATACTTGATCAATGCTATCTGTTTCCTAGCCAGGCCTGCCGAGCCGGGGCCTGATTTGAAATCCGGCCCCAGCTGCATTGAGAGGCAGTCTGTGCAATAATAAAAACAGCAGTTTTAGCAATGAAAGCCTGTTTAAATACACCACAAACAGAAGGAAAAAGCAGCCATTGTGTCGCATCAAAGTTGTCGGAGGGCCAGGGAAGTTTAATCCCCTTCGACTGCATCCTCTGTGGGAAAAGCAACCTTTTGCCAATCAATGCTAATTGATTTTGCTTTTCGACATTGACCAGCGCCGCCACAAACCCTCCCGCTCCTCCCGGCCTTTGGACAGCCATTGTAATTTCAGCAGGCACCTGATAAGCTACCTGCTCCATATTGAATCAATTGTAATTAGCAGGAAAGGGGTCCAAGCAGCGTGTGGGGGGAGCTGCATCCTCTCCTGGTTCACTCATTCTGTCCGCTTGGTTCCACTTCAACCTTTCAGTTTATCGTTCTTTATAAACAGCCCATCTCTGGTATCTGACATTTCTAAAAATATTTCCTCTTCTTCAAAGAATTAGAGACTTTAAAATGCTCTAAACTCCTCCTCCTCACCAGCAGAGGCTGTTTGTTTTTATCAAATCCCAGTTAAGGTTTTATTCTTTTGCTCATATAATTAAAAGAAAACTTTTAAAGTAACTCTTTAAAATGTCTGCAGGTCTGTATGGGTCCACCGCTGTGTGTTGTGTCGCCGCCGTGCTCGCCGCCTTCTTGCGGACTTGTTGGGTTTGCAGCTGACTAACTTATCAGCCGGCCTGATTCCCCTCCCTAAGGGAGGCACTTAACATTCAGCAGCGCTCCCTTTTCTGCAGCAGCCGCAGATAGTCCTGAGCTGCTGGCAGGAAAGTCGGCGACATGCGAGGATCTATCCATCCACGTGTTTTCCCCTCTCAGTGTGTGTGGGAGCACACAGGTGTGTCGCTTTTATTGGGTGCTGGGGCAGGTCTATTGAGCAGCGGTCTGGAGTGCGAGTAATTGCTGATTTGGTTGGCCAGTCAATGACACAGTCAGCCAGAGATGAGAGAAGGAAGGTGAGAGGAAAAGCCCATCTGTGATACACCTGCCCTGACACTCGCACACCCCGCTGAGAAAAATATCCGCCTGCAGTCAGTCAAACACCTCTCCATCTGTCGCATCCTTTCAGTCACGCCGGATGCTACTACAGCCACACGCTAACCGTGGCGCTCAGCCTGCAGAACGGCTCAGAGCGTACAGGGGAAAAATATAAGGAGGAAATCAGAATAGGATTCAGTGAATGATAAATATGTTTATTTAGAAAGCGATCAGAGGTTACTTCCCCTCCCCAACCTGTTGCTACCTACTGTTGGGTCCTATACCCCTCCACTCTAATGTTTTTGAGTCTGAGAATGAAATGATATTTATCGCTTTAGCATCAGACTAGAAGCTGTTCTGATGTGGTTTTCTGAGCATGCTCAGTAAGAACCGCCTCCTGGACCGTCTTGGTGTGATGCCAGGCGGGGAAATGCCATCTGTATGCCACGCTCTCATCTCCCTGCCACTAAATTGATCCACTATGCCCTCTTTATCTGCTTACCGAGTGTTTGGACGGACACAGAACGGTGTGCCGGCTCGCTCCGTGTTTTAAAGTGGACCGCCTCTGGCTGTGTAAAAGGGATTTATGCATGAGTTTTTCCTGTTACGGTTTGATATGATAAGCCTTTTTTTATATGTTTAAAATCAATATGTAATCCTATGCAGGAGCTTATCCCTTTCCACACACACACACACACACCTGGTCATTTGTAAATCTATTTGTGCTTTGTAACACATCGGGGCTGCGCACATGGGCGACTTTTGATGATGTCGCCGACTCTTTCAGGGCTGCCAGGCGACTGAGACCAGAGATGTCTCTATGGGGGAACCAGGAAGTGGCTGTAACGCTCTAACCTCTGATCCCGTCAGACATCCTGCCGCCTCCAGATGAAACATTTTAAGAAACAGATGCGTGTTGTTCAGCTTCACGCCTGTTTCTTAAAATGTTGATCATCAGAGTTTTTACATCGCTTTTGGATATAGAGATCCTACAGATTTCATCGCCCTTCCCTCACCTGTTGCTGCAGATCTCACTAAAGAAGGCTTGTCGTTTTAATGATTGTTTCCTTTAGATTTTAAATAAATATGAAGTTTTGTTTGAAACGGTGTCTATTTTTAGCAAAGTCAGCAGTTCAGGCCTAATCTGAGCTTCTGTCTGGATTCCTGCTGGAGGAGAATCAGATTTAGATTTATACATCAGAAAATCTTTATTTCAGAACCGCTTCTTGTCTCCAAATGAAGGTGATTTTTTAATTAGCGGCGAAAAAACCTCCAACTGTGCTAACAGAAAGTTTGGTCCAAGATTTAAAATAAAAGATTCAGATTAATTGAATATTAGAGCCTCAGAAGTCGTCATTTAGCTTTTGAATGTTTTTATATCATCAGTTCATATTCCTGTTTGTTTCATAAATGGAAACTAAACATTTATTTTACAAGAACTAAAGGGTTTCCAACGTTTTTATTTACGTTTTTAGACTTTTTTTGGTACAGGATCCAGTCATAAAAAGGGAGTTTTTTATTTTTTATTTTATTTTTATTAAACATTAATCTTTTAGTAAATCTCGACAAATTTTTTTTTACATTTTTCTGGAGGAAAATGACTATAAATACAGAAGTTTGTCTGATAGCGTTTAGCTCCTGGATCATATGACATATTATTGTCATTTTATGTTTACAGTTGATCTCCAGAATCCATTTCTGGAACTTTTTCTGTTTCCTCTTATTTTTCATAATTTACAGAAGTTAGCTTCCAAACTAACAGAACTGGTGATTTTAATTAATTATTTCAAAAGTCTGATTGCATTTTTTGTGTCCTTTTAACCACATGGATTCGATCCACAAACATTTTGACGTTTTCCTTTTCCTGTCCTCTTTCTTTCTTTTCCTGTGATGATGCTTTTTGGCTCCTGGTTCCTCCTGGCCTGCAGCCCACAGCTGCTTTTTTGGGGCCTTTTGCAGAATAGAATAAAGCAGAAGGAACGACGGGGAACACCTTCACATTTTAGTCCTACTCGGGTGTAAAAGTCTCAGGAGACGCCTTAAGCGCTTTGTTTCCATATTCGGTACGAGGAGGAGGACGAAGCAGGCAGCTGCATGTCGGACGCTCTCGCTCGGCTTTGAGGGGACGCGGCTTTGGAGCGGTTTGAATAAATGCGGAGGGAGGGAGGGAGGGAGGGGTGTACCGGATTGAGTCGGAGCATTCTTGTGTGTTATGCTCAGGCTCACATGGTTACCGCTGGCGTGCACGGTGAGGCTCATCTGAACACCTCCTAAGTCTTTAACCTCCCTCTACCTCCAACTCTCTCTCTGATGGAGGGGGCGGAGCCTAAGTGGGGGCTGAACGGCTGCAGGGTGTTTTGTTTGTTCCTCCGTCTCTGGTTACCCAGCCTGCCCCGCTCTGGTGTTGCCTGGTCACGTCTCTCATCGACTGTTTTTATTGTTTACCTTCCTAATGAGGGGGGCGGGGCCCTGCGGCATGTGATTGACAGCAGCAACCCCCCCTCCACCACCACCTTTCAGGAATCAGCTAGGATTTGGCTTTTTGGCTCGCTGTTGTTCCAAAGGAGGAGGAGGAAGGGTTTGGAAACCTTTCTGCGGTTTTGCAGGAAGTTGTAGAAATGAATTTCTCCTTCCTGTGGGCGGGGTCACAGAGGGACGCTGTGGGACAGTTCTGATGGATCCGGCTGCACAAATTCCTGCCTCACAATTATCTAAAAGCTGATGACTCATCTGCTTCTCTGTTTCACTGATCGCCCCAGTTTCTCTCTGGTCTAAACTACTACGTTTGGGGGGGGGGCGGTAACTCAAAGTCTTAAGCAGCAAGTCTGGACATATTTTAAACTAAAGTTTGGCGACTTCTGCCCTGAGAGCAAATTTTCTTCTGAAAAAGTGAAAAGACAGGAAGACAGTAACGCTGACTTCAAAGAGATAAGCAACTCCAGCCAAGTTTATCTTTAATAAAATTCTTATTTTGTGCAGAAATCAGGTCAACAGAGAGAGGTTGGTCTGCAGACGTCTCTGTGAAACAGAGGAGGGATTTCCCTGCCTTCCTTAAGCTGCGAAACAGCCGAACAGATCTTCCCATTAGAGTCTGAGCTCTTTGTAAAGGAGAAGGCGGCCTTCTGTCTGTCGCTCAGAAAGGTTGGAATGACTTCAATGTTTTAGGGGCGGAGGGATACGGGGAGGGAGGAGCGCTGCGCCCATGGGGGCTAAATGTGGAGCCCGGAGCCCCAGGCGGATATTTGAGCCCCAGGGGGAGTGGGTGCTCTCCTGTGGGCAGCCCCCCCTCCTTCAGAGGCAGGCTGAGGGGATTTGGATCAGGGTCCCACCTGGGCCCTGTGGGGCCCCTTCCTGGAAAGACCCTGGAGAGCAGAGACAGAGGCTCCCCTGCTTGTTTGTTTATTTAACACAACAGATGAGGAAACGCGTTTCTCCATAGAACATTTATTTTAACGGATGTTTAATCATAAAGTGGCGTGATAACATCAAAGGTTTTCAGTGGCAGCATGGTCCTGTGGGAACGGGCGATCCATGCATGTAATTGTCGGCACACACACCCGTTCTGCTAGAAAATGGCCCTAAAGTCACACTAAAGATGCTGATTTATAGAGTTTTTAGAGTTTTCCAAATATCCTGGTGTCAGAGTCTCAAGGTTCCTCTGTTTTTTTGTTCTTGTTTGCAGACTGGCAGAAAACTGAAGCCCAGAAGAGACGAGAGCAGCTGCTGCTGGATGAACTGGTCATACTGGTCAACAAACGGGACGCGCTGGTCAGGGATCTGGACGCCCAGGAAAAAGAGTGAGTCACAGACAGAAATGTCCCACAGAGAGCGGCTTTTTTTCACAGACGTCCCAGAGCCGGCCTGCAGGAGGAGCATCAGGGATCTCCTCCAGATCCACGGTGCCAGCAGGGGTGAAAGGTCAGAGCGTGGCCCCTGGCACGAGGCTGCCGTGGCAACAACAGCGTTACCTGTGTCCCCCCACCTTCCCTCTCTCTCCATGTCCCATAAAGCCCCTTCCAGACTTGTGATGTTTTGATGTTTGTGGTTGGCAGGGCCGAGGCGGAGGACGAGCACCTGGAGCGGACGCTGGAGCAGAACAAAGGCAAGATGGCCAAGAAAGAGGAGAAATGTGTCCTTCAGTGATCGTCAACAAACCAACACATGTAGCCAATAAAAGAAATGTATCTCCATGAATATTCTCACTTTTTACTCTCATTTGATCGCAGCTTTTAGACATTTCCTTCCGAGGTTTTTGATCCAGTAAACAGCAGAGACTGAAACTTTGCACCAACTTTATACCGACTCAGTCCGCTGAGATCTTTTTTTATTATTTTAACTCGAGGTCATTAAAGAAAAGGTACAGTTCTGTAATATAAATATCTTTTTGTGCAGAGCAGACAGCGTGGTATTAAAAAGAACATCTGTTTTTGGAGCTTCTTTACTACTTGACTTTTAGTTGCATTACCTGTAAAATATCTGAGCTGCATTAATGTTCATAAATCTTTCCTATTGTGCTTTTTTATTGTCTCTGCTTAAAACCAAAAAGAAAATAGTAAAGGAAAAAAATATTGTATATTTCCATCCATTTTCTGCTTTCCAAATCCTTTTCATCACCTTCAGCCTGAAAACAACAGATTTGTTTATTATTTATTGTGGTTTGTTCTATAATAAGCTGCTTGTCTTCACATCTCATGTGCGGTTTTGCTCTGCAACTTTTGGTTCCTATTTATTGTCTTCAGAAGAGGAGAGAAATGTGCTTCCACCTGCCTCTCTTAGAGCTCCACATGTCTTTAACCTGTGAACATTTATCTGATTATTTATTCCAGTCATAACCCAAGTCTCCAGTAATAAAGTCTTTATGATTTCATACTTCAGAACAAGGTGTCTGTCTTTTCTTGCATTTATGTCATTTTATTTTTATGTCGGTGCTGTTTGTTTATTTTAGATGGTTAATAAAATCACATTTTAATGGATATAAGTGACCACATGAAACTACAAAAGTGCTTTTATTTAAAATTTGTGTTTTGGATTTTTTTCTCAACTAAAGGAAATAAAAAATATAAATGTATATTTTATTTTTTTTAGCGTTTTTTTTTCCCTCTGTCCGAATTGTGTGATCAGAGCCGGGGGAAAAAAAAACAGTAAACTTTCAATAAATCTAAATTTTTAACTGGAATAATCCGAGCTGTGAAAGTGTCCCCGGGATGAGCGCGCGCGGTTAATCCTCCTCCATCCGACATTTAAGCGCTGGAATCGGTTGTGACAGCAGCCGTCTCTCCTCGGAGACTTTCACATTCATTCGCTAATTTATTTCTCTGCTTCAGTCCCACTTTTTTGCGCGCACTTTACGCGCGGCGCGTCTCTGGAGGCTCTCCTGTCTACCTGCGTGTGTCTCTTAATCTTAAAATAATTTCTCCTCATTTATCGTCTCTCTGAGGTAAACTAATAAACTTTAAATTATTTTTCTCCTCAATAAATTGTAGATTAGATGCACCGAACTGAACTTTCCCTCCTGGATAATTTTGAAACGCAGCTGCACCAAAAATCTGATTTAATAAATCTTTACTAAAATATTTTTACCATTTTAAAATGAATAAAATGCGTAGAATAATCCAGCCTTACCTCTGCAGATTAACTCATTGATTATAGGGATCTTATGAATAATCCAGGTGCTACAGAAAGAGTGAAAAACATCTGGATCCATTCTCCTTTTCCGCGCTGTGTAAAAAGCGCCTGGTCTTTAGGAGCCTGGCTTCCTTTCCTTCCTTCCTTCCCTCCTTTCCTTCCTCGCAGGTGCTGCTCGGCCTCCGTAGCTCCGCTCCGGCTCTCCCTGCAACAAACCGCTCTCAGGTTTATGCCTCACCGTTTTAATACCGACAACATCCCTGCAGATCCGCGCTTCTTCCAATCCTCCCGGCTGAAGGGAGCAAACTTTTCTCCCCCCTCCTCCCCTCCTCTCCTCTCCTCTAATCCCAGGCTTTACCAGCTCAGCATTAAGAAAATTCAACTGCAATTTGGGATTAGACAAAATGCTCTTATTACAAAAAGCTTGGTGCAACTTGATAACTTGATACTTGTTCAAGGGGGTTTATCTGGAGGTCTCACATCGAGAAAAGGAAGGAGAGGAGAAAAAAAACAAGAAATGTCAGAATAAGCTGTGTCTTTTGTGCAGAGAAGGCCATATTTGTTGAATGGCCTTTTTGCATAATTTAAGGGAGCCTGTGTGGCTGTGAACAGGAGGGGTCCTGGTATTTGGGGGTTTGGCGGCCCTCTGACTGCTTGGACTTCAGACATAAAATGCAGAAAAAGGTGCAGGAAAGGGTTTGACCTCTTTTAAACCACCTTTCATTTTCCCCTTTCTTCTTTCATGTCTGATTTTGATCTGATTTGATCCTCTGCGGGAAAGAAAATAAAGCATCACCGCAGGCCTTAACGCACTTTTTATTTTAAGTTATTTATGTTCCTGCTTTTTATTTGGCTACATTTAATTTATTGCATTTAAGAGATCCGCAGAATTAAACATTTTTAACCTTCGAAGGTCAGAAAAATCGGACTAAACCTTTCTTTTCTGCCTTTAAAAACATGAACATTCAATTTTTTTTTCCTCCGCAGCGAGTTGGAGGTCTTTCCCTATTAAACTTTACGTCAACCATCCTCAAATGTAATTCTAAATGGGGATTAAACCTCATTAATATTCATGAGATTTGTCTGTGTGAGTGGAGAGGGGAAAAAAGAAAGAGGGGGGAGAAAAAAAAGAGGGAGGGCGGTATCAATAAAAAAATCAAAATAGATGAATTTAACTTCTTGGTTTTATCCCTCTTTTTTCCTTTCTTTTTTAAAAAAAGATGAAAAACTGAGATCAAAGTGATCTCTAAGAGAGAGAGAAATCCTCATTTGCAGATGAGCTGAGGCTTAATACTAGAAGCTTTTAACATTTTAAATAAAATAAAATAAAAGAACCTTTAAAGTGTTTAGCTGTGGCATCCATCCATCCATCCATCCTGTGGCTCAGCAGAGCGCAGGCCTGTTCTCTGCAGGCCTCTGAAGGTCTCCATCTTCTCCGGGATCAGTCAGAGGAGGAGGTGCAGAGAGAGAAGGGGGCAGAAAAAAGGGGCGGTGTTCTCCTCCTCCTATTGGATACTCGCGCTGTCCGTCACAGCCAGCGCCGCGCTGTGATTGGCTGCGGGAGGCGGATCCCGCAGGTGATCCTCAGCTCATAGAGGCGCGGGGCGGAGAGAAGGTGATCAATCTCCATCCGTCTCCATTAGAAATCACCTTTAACAGCCTGACAGACGACCAGGAGCCCCCCTGAAAAAGCAAATGAGTTTGAACCGCGCGGCCGTAAAAAACGCCCGGAACCGCGGCGAGGACGCGCTGAGCTGTCTGCGCCTTTTCCATCCGTGATGCCGCTGGCTTTGCTCACTCTGTGGTTTTGAGCAAGTCTGCAGACTTCCTCCTGCTGGATAATTTCACTTTGGCTCCGAGGACTCCGGGGGAGAAGAGAAAGGCGTTAAACGAGGTAAAGTTTTCTTTTCCGCCACTTTTAATACTTAAATTTACCACAGAAATCGTTTTATTTTGGTTTCTTCTCGGTTAAAGTGACAGAAACTAATTCAATTGTCATCTCTGATCATCTGCGTGAGAATTTCCCGCAGATATATCAATTAATCCCGCACGGAGAAGGACTTTCAGCTCCAATCAAATCAACTTTCCTCCAAGAGCGCAGATATTTTTTCATATTTCAATTCTTCGCTTTTTGAGGTTTTATTTTTTTAACTGAGCCCAATTGTCCATTAAATCGCGTGAAGCACTCTGCAGATAATTGGAGAGGCGTGTTTTGATTTTTGCTTAATTTATTTCACTGATAAGAGCCCTTGTGAAGCGCTCCGTCTCTCCCCGGAGGTCTAATCTAAATTCTAATGGAGTTCATTTGCAGCGAGATGTTCTCCTGTTCTCTGCTGCTTTGCTGGCTCACTGTGGGCCTCACTGGCACTAATCATTTCATTCACTTCATTCTGCAGGCCTGCGTGATATTTGGTTAACATCTGGGAGGTGATCAGGACAAAAACAAGACTTTATTATTTGGATTCATCTGAGTGAAAATCAAATCAAATAATTTCTAAATATGAAGGCCTAAATATATTTCTGTAAAATTATTTTATAGTTGATTCGTTAATAATCTATTTAAAAAATGAAAACAAATAACTATCTACATGAGTGCATAAACTAAAATGCGTAAACTTATTTAAACTGGTTTGTTTTAGTTTATTAATTCTATGTTTAAGGACAGAGGAGTGTGTGTTGCTATTTTTTTTAAAGCTGCAACATTAAAAACAAAATGCAAAGACCAGAAATGAGATTTTAAAAAAATCACCAGATTTTTTTTTCCTTCAATAGAAAAATCTCAAATTAATCTTCTAAAGTATAATTAGATTTCATTTACTGTGTTCTATAAAGCAGGTTCAAACACACCATGACACAAACAAACCCTGGAGTTGGACTGAACTTAGTTTTTATTTTTTTATTACACAAAACGACCTTAATGGACTCAGTAGAACCATATGCTATTTTTTATTTTACCTGGAGGTAATTATCTTAATTAAAAAGACGCAAAACAACTCTAAAATTAAATGTCTTTAAATAGCATTATTTCTACTGTAATTATAAAGGATTGACGGCTTTATAAATGGAGATAAATGCAGCTATGGCTGAGCAGATTAAAATAACTTTACATCCTAGAAATGCAGATATCCTGTTAATTTTTTCTTTCCTTCATTATTTGAAACAAAAGAATATTTTTGTAAATCTTTTTTTTTTTTTGTACAATGAAAAAAATAATGCAACCGTTTTTGGCATTTACTTAATCATATTTAGTTAATACAATCGTTTCATGTTAGCAGGGTAGGACATAAAACAAATGTGTTAAAGTGACTAAATATGATTAATTAAACGGCAACAGTGCAGATTTAGAAGCCATTCAAAGGCTAGTTAGCAGATTATTTTATTCTATAAATCCATAAACCCCCTACTGACTGCCTTTAGTCCGCCTTATGATAAAATGCAATTTTATTTTTATAAAAAAAAATGCACAATTGCAAATTATATATATATATATATATATAATTTGCAATTGTGCATTTTTTTCCTAAAAAGAAAATAACAAAAAAGAGAATAGGCCTATATATATGTATTTTTTTTATTTTGCAAGTGGAATATCAGTTAAGTCGTAATGTTGTATAAATATTATAAAATGATCAATGTAATTTTCTGTCATTAATCCTGTGTCCGCCATCATGCTCCTCCTCTCTGTCCGCAGTGACTCGCTCCGCTCCTCCGCTCCGCCAAGCTGCAGCATCGGGGGAAGCTGAACCACTGGCCTGAGCTGGGTGGAGCAGTGACCGCCTGTAGCATGATGTCCTACCTCAAACAGCCCCCCTATGGGGTGAACGGCCTGGGGCTGAGCGGCGCGGCCATGGACCTGCTGCACCCCTCGGTGGGGTATCCAGGTAGCTGCCCTCAATAAGAGGAGAAAAATAACTCCTGGCGGAGGGACGCTCCAATTAACGGAGTGGAAGTTGATCACACCTGTGACCGTTGGCCGCCATGTTTGTTTCTTCCCCGCAGCGACGCCCAGGAAGCAGCGGAGGGAGCGGACCACGTTCACCCGCTCCCAGCTGGACGTCCTGGAGGCGCTGTTCGCTAAAACCCGCTATCCGGACATCTTCATGCGGGAGGAGGTGGCGCTGAAAATCAACCTGCCGGAGTCCCGAGTTCAGGTAAAAAAATACATTTAAATAAAATAGACACATTAATTTCCGACGAATTTACTTTATAAGAAAGATATTTTATTCGACAATTCGCTGTTAAATATTTATATTTGCTGTTGAATAGTAGGCTATTTTTATATTTTTGTTAATTTTATTTTGTTTTTATTTGTTTTCTTGTTAACAAAGTGAAATGAAGAGAAAAATATGTCGATTTTATTGGTGACGTCATTAATTCCGCACCATTCCTCTTTGATCTTTTATTATTTTAATATTTTTCGCTTTTTTCACTTCATGAAAATATCACAGAATAAATGGAAAAGTTTTTAAAAAATAAATTATGAAATAACTAATATATTAGGAACACCAAGGAGAAAATTGTCTCTTTTTTTCACTGCAATAGGCTGTAGCCTCTAATGAGGTTAGTAATTTAGTCTGTAAAGCTATAAAAAGCTGAAATTATGACAAAATTCATTAATGGCCTCTAATAAACTGGCTTAATCAGAAAAGTTAGACAGTTTAGATGAAGGAACTGTTAATGTTTTTTACCCAGTCATCATTTTCTTTGCATTGTTGCTCAGAAATGATCATTTATTGTATATTTTTTAAGTTCATTGCTGTTTATGACGTAATTTGAATAAAATACAATATTCTACATTTTGCAGCTGATTGCTGTTTATGACGTAATTTGAATAAAATACAATATTCTATATTTTGCAGCTGATTGCTGTTTATGATGTAATTTGAATAGAATATTTTATATTTTGCAGCTAATTGCTGTTTATGATGTAATTTGAATAGAATATTTTATATTTTGCAGCTGATTGCTGTTTATGATGTAATTTGAGCTGAGATGCAGAAACTATGGAGATGCTGCAGTGCAATGCCAAACAAATGCTGATCTTAAAAGGCATAATGGCCTCTGTCTCACAGTTATTTCCAGAATGTGTGTGTGAAACAAAATGCTCTACAAAGTCCAGCCCTCTCAGTGCTCTAGAGTTACCCTACTGTGTGGTGAAACTCAATAGCCTGTTATCTTAGAGTCGTCTACCAGGTATGAAATTAGACCCCTGGCTGATCCAAGCCAAGGGGCCGAGGTGGAAATGAACCTTGGATAATAACCCTCAATTTTCCTCCATAATGTACTCCCAGCATGGTCAAGGAGATTTTTCTTTCTTCTTCTTGCCTGGTAACTCCTGTGTTCTGGTCGTAGGTGTGGTTCAAGAACAGGAGGGCAAAGTGTCGCCAGCAGCAGCAGAGCGGCAGCAGCGCCAAGGCCAGGCCGCCCAAGAAGAAGTCCTCTCCGGCCCGGGAGAGCACGGGATCGGAGAGCAGCGGCCAGTTCACCCCTCCGGCCGTCTCCAGTGCTGCCTGCTCCTCCTCTTCCTCCACCTCGTCCACCAACCACTCCGGCCCTGCAGCTCTTAGCAGCACCTCTACCTCCATCAGCACGGTTTCCTCCATCTGGAGCCCGGCCATCTCTCCAGGAAACGCCCCTGCTCCCGCCGTCGCCCCGCTCCCTGAGCCCGGACCCCCGTCCAACGCCTCCTGCATGCAGCGTTCGATGTCTGGCTCTGCAGCCGCCGCCACCTCCTACCCCATGTCCTACAACCAGACGCCGGGCTATGGCCAGGGCTACCCCACCCCCTCCAGCTCCTACTTCAGCAGCGTAGACTGTGGTTCCTACCTGGCCCCCATGCATTCCCACCACCACCCCCACCAGCTGAGCCCCATGACGGCCTCCTCAATGTCCGGCCATCCGCACCACCACATCAGCCAGTCGTCGGGGCACCATCACCACCACCACCAGGCCTACGGCGGCTCCAGCCTGGCCTTCAACTCATCCGACTGCCTGGATTACAAAGAGCCGACTGCAGCCTCCTCATGGAAGCTCAACTTTAACGCCACGGACTGCTTGGACTACAAAGACCAGGCTTCCTGGAGGTTCCAGGTCTTGTGATCAGCCTTTTCTGGGCCCCCTTCCCATCCTGCTCCCACTTCTTTTCTTTTTCCAGATTAGTTTGTTGCTTGTTATTAAAAAACAAAGAGTTTATGAACCGTAACGATAGCAGCAGGAATGCTCAGCAGTCGAACTGCTTTTTCCTCCCACCTGTCCTCCATATCTAAACAAAAAAAAAGAAAAACAACAAAAAAGAAAAAGAGTCCTGTTGAGCATCGGGGAGCAGCTTTGTGACGACAAAGAGTGGCTTTATAAAAAAAAAACAAGTTATTTCAACAAACTCCTTTTGACCAGCAGCCCTCTGGATGAGAGGAATATTTTCCCTCTGGTTCACCGACGGGAACAAAGCCCCCGCTGTGCCCCCCTCCCCTCTTCTCCCTCCAACCCCCATCCACTTCTGTACAGTTTTTATTTCTCAAATTTGTTATTTTAGGACAACAGAGATTTTTTTTTTTTTAGTCAGCTACAGCGAGGAGCTGAAGTATGTAAATATCTATTTGGGTCAGTTACAGTGACCATGTTTAGTCGCTTTCTTTTCCTGAATTTAAGATTGTTTATAATAACTTTGGGAAGAAAAAAAAAGAAGCTGTATGTAAATCTTTCTAAATATTCCAAAGATGATAAATTGGCCATGAGGTTGAGCTTTTATTCCAAGGGGGGCAGAAAAAGAGAAGAAAATTTGACATGTTTTGGATTTAAGGAAAAAGAGAAAATAGAAAATGCTTCTGATCGGATCCAGACTTTATTCCAGCCTTTTCATTTTCCAAGCAGATCTCCTCTTTGGAGCTTTGAGATATGGGACGTTTGAACGGCAGCAGCACTTGGCTTAATCCTGGAGTCAAAGTATTTTATTTTTTCTTTTTTTTTCTTTTTTGGGAGGAGGGGGGGAGTTTTAATGCTCCAAAATAGAGGGAGAGATGTTGAATGTATCTTAAAAGCAACCACACTTGCATACATGTTCATCCAATAAAGATCCCTTAAGTCAAAATTAATTTTCCATAAGTGGATTCTGTCTGTTAGAGCTTTTTTTTTTTTTTTTTTCAGAAGCTTGTACAAACCTAAATGACAACATCCACACTCCTGTTTTCTCCTGTCTAGCAGTCACACTTTTATTTAAAGGCTTGTTTATTTTGTTTCTCTCTAATTATGGCGCGTTTAATGCAAATTGGTGCGTAATTAAAACAAGCCTTGAACGCATGTAGGGGCCCGCATTTCCATTTTAGAGAGCCGCATGTTTAATCCTCTGCCTGCCTTAAATTGAAACACTAACGTCTCTCCTTGCTTTAGGGAGGTTAATGTTTTTTTATTTATTTTTATTTTGACTCTGTCGTTTAGCGAGGAGGGGGGGAAACAAAACACAAGGAAGCCGGAAGACATTTGATCGAGGCGTAATTGAACGCACCGCAGTAATTGCGTGATAATTACTGCTGGTTTCTCCAAAATAACCCGCAGGAATCTCGGGGTCTGTGATGCGGTAATTAGGGAGGTGGGGCCAGGTTAGGGGGTCACATGTTAGGAGGAGACTTCATCTCTTCTAAAGGCCGCACTGAGCTCAAATAACTTCATTTGCCCTGAAAATAATTAGACTGTTTAGTCTTTGTCTAACATTTGTTATGAAGAAACATAAATGTGTAAATTTTTTTTGTCACATAAAATTTTGTTAAAGCACTATTTAAAACGCAGGAATTTTTAATGGGAATAATTTTAATTAAAAAAATTTAAAAGGTAAAAATTTAACTTGCAGTCTGAATATTAATATTGTTTCTTTAAATTCATTTTATTTATTTTTCTTTTGGTAATGGTCTACACGCTTAAAAAAGCTTCAAACGAAGCTTCCTTTTAAAGGCCATCAAGCTGAAAGCCCCCCCCCCACCGCTGGCAGCAGCTGGATCAATATGCGTCGAACTGGACATGAAAAGCTGTTTGCGTCAAGCCGCGCAAACAGCGCAGCGCAGTGTCCGCCAACAGCGGCGGATTTGTTCGGATTTGCATCAAACAAACATTTGCGGACCAATCTTGCGCGATTTGTTTGCGGACTTCTCAGGAGCTGGAGGTTCTCTATGAAGCAGCTGCGACCAAACATTTAAAAGGAGGGGGGAAAAAAAGAATTGTGTGAGAAAACTGTCTGATGGAGGATTGGAGAAAATAAATCTGTTCTAAGAAAAGATTCATTAGACGGTCTGATGGAGAAGAGCTGCTCCTTAGGAATAAAAGACCACAGATTAACTGTTTTTGTTTGTTAAAAATGTAAAGTAAGCTTTGTTTTTAATTTCTAATCCAGATTTAAACTACTTCCAAAAACTTTTGCATTAAAGTACACTGAAAAAAAATTATGCAACCGTTTTTACTTTTACTTAATATTTATTTACTTTAAAACACTTATTTCATGTTAGGATAGTAGGGCATAAAACAGTTGTGTTTAAGTAAATATGATTAAGTAAATTCCGCATGTAGCATTATTTTTTTCAGTGTAGAAGCCATTATGATCTGAAGTAATTTACCTCTACTGGGAATATATATATATATATATATTTTTTTTTTTTTTTATAAAGACAAAAGATTGGCTTCAGAAACAAATTTTTCATCAATAAAACCTTCAAAGGACATATTAAAATTCTAAAAATGTTTGTACCCAAGATTTATTTGTTTTTTAGTCAAAGTGTCTTTTTTTTTCTTTTTGTCCATATTTAGAAACATAAAAGAACTAAATGCTATTTGCAAGAGCTTAAAATTATTCACATTTTTTTTTTGCTTTACAACAATCTAAGAACTTTAAACTTAATTAAACTAAATTGTTGTCTTTTTGTGTGAAAAGCTATGACAAAAAGTCAAAGGAGGGGTTTAATCAAAAAGGAAATGTTACATTTTGACTGTAAGAGGCTGAAGAGAAAAAGTCAGATGTTTTTATATCGAAGTGTTTGAACAGAAAAACAAATCTTTAACTTCTTAAATGCTCCAAGCATCCACCTGACAGCTGTCAGTTTCCCGCCGGCCTCATGATGCATCTGTGGCATCCATGTTTTAGTGCTTTTAGAGGCTTTAAGGTAAAGCATGGAGCTCACATCGCTTCAGATCAGACTTTTTTCTGATCTTAAAGCCTGAGGTTCTAAAACAAGCAGACTGTTAGAAAACGACGGCTTCCTGCAGCATTCAGAGCTAAACGGTTCGTGCTGCTGTGGTAGATCAGTGTTTTAACCACAGCTGAGGCGCTGCATATAATCCCCATTGATTGCTCCTGTTTATGGTTTAACCCTTCGGTTTTCTCCTCCCTTCTGGTGACGTTGTGGGAAACCAGTTGGACTGGAAGCTGCAGAGCTATTGCTCACCCTCAGACCAGGAAACCACCTGGAACCACGCTGCACTTTATATTTGCATTAAGAGTTTAGATTTCTATCAGCGATGGAGGCCAGGAGATGAAACTGGATTGATCCACCAGTGTTTTGGTTTGTAGAATCTCACAGGCCTCAATAAGCCACAGCATGGTGCCAATACCATTCTCCTCCATTTCCACATAAGAAAAGGGGAAAAAAAGGACTTCTGCTCGTCTTTCGTTGGCTAAAGCAGTGAGAGGAGGATTATATTAACCTGGGAGGTTAATCTGGGGTCAACTGTACAGCGACATGGGTGTAAACCGCTCAGCCCTCTCTGCCTTCTTTGTTTTGTCCAAAGTTTTTCTCAAACCTCTTGTTCAGTAAAAGTGTTAAACACAAAGATGGAAGCAGATTTCTATGGTTCAATGTTATAATTTATAAAAATTTCAGCAAAGAAACCACAGACCTCTGGAACCCAAACCTACGGCAGGTGGGAAAACCTGAGGAGGTCTAACAGATAAAGTTTCCCAAAAGCTCCAGGAGCTTTCATTCAATTCCCTGCAGGCCTGGTCCTCCCCGCCTGTGGCTGCTCTTCTGTAGCTGGGAGGACTTGGAGGACTCTGGTTACCTGGTCTGGACGTGTGCTGGAGATTGGGTCGCTTTGTTGGACAAAGCTGTGGCGGATAAACAGCTTTTGCTGATTGTTTAGTGCTTTAATTGATTGTAGATGCCAATGTTAGTGAGAAGACGGTAGAAAATCTTCCTAAATGTTAATTCTGGAGTAGATCAACTTATTATTGACGTTCCTGTTAAACAGAAACAATCCTGGTTTGGGTAAAAAAAAAGAGATGCTAAATGTTAGCATGCTAACCCAAAAATCCCTGAAGTTCAACCACAGTGCAGCAAACAGCTGATCTAAGGCCAGCGCAGCAATCAGATGGTTTCCTTCCTGGTTTGCTTCACCTGACGGGAATTCAGACTGAACTGGTAACAGCAGCTCTCTGTGGTTTCCACACCCTTCAGATGACGGCTGCATGTCCCGACGACTTGAGAGTCTCCCTTATGGTGAAGCAGCCGCATCTTGGAGAGGAGGGATGGATTAGGAAGGTATTTGAGGGGAATTATCTCATCTGAAAAGGATGCAGCAGACCCTCGTCCCAACTTGTCGTGGGAGAGCTTAATGGGGGCTTACTGGCCTGCAGGCCTCGACGTTTCCCACAGAGCCTGATCACTCCACATGGAAACTGATGGCAATCTGAAGTTGGTGGTTACGTTTTTTTTTTTTTTTTTATTTAAATGGATTTATGTTCAATTACAATATTTAAATTTGCACATTAATAGATGTTTGCCTCTAAAATCAAGCAATAGAATGACCTCTGATTTTATCTGCTAAAACTTAACTTGGAGGGAAAAATATATTTAGTACATCCAGCAGTAGAGTGACGGGATCATATTTAACAGATTTGTTTTGTTTTTGGTTTTTTTGGTGTCCTGTTTTGCCAATAAAGCTTCAGGAGTCAATTTCCCAGAGCCAAACATATTTTTAGAAGCAGAACCTTATGGTTGTTAACATGGGGTTCTGTGGAACTTTATTATAAGAGGAACTAATGATCACGTACAATGGAGATGGAAAGGAGAGGAAATAAGAATTGATTTATTTATTGATGGCAAAATAAAAAACAGCTTAAAGGAGATTTACCAGTTGTTTTCATTTTAGTTTTTTTTTTTTTTTTTTTACCAGAATCTTAACATCAAGACTAACTTTAATCTGAGTGAAAGGATATCAGACCCCCCCCAACCCCCCCCCATCCAACTGTATTTGTTTACTTCCTGCCAAATTCTAAAATAAAAAGATGTATATTTTAACTTTTAATAGATACCATGTGTCTAAATATCTAATTAATTAGGAACGCCTGGGATGTTCCCATGATATTCCAGTTATTAGAGTTGTGTAAATAAGAGTTAAACCCATAGATGGATGTCTGTCCCCCTCAGGGGAGACGGCATCGGACCAATCAGGGGGCATCATTAGATGCTACCAGGTTTCTGCAGAAACTCAGCACAGCTGTTGCATCGAGAAGACATAAAAAAAGAGCAGATAACCTGAGAGCTGGAGGCTTGATTCATTTCCAAAATGTTAACAAGGCCGTTTCACAGCTCCAGCACCCCGCGCAGTATGTTAATACCGCTAATAAGCCTATCTCTGCAAGTCATCACGGATGGCAAAGATCTGAGGCAGTGTTTTAGAATAAAGCTGCCGGCCACGTTTTAAATGAAGCATTTGTGATTTCACAAAGCCGACATAATTGCTCAAAGGGTGACTGAGGAGACCGTTTGGTCCCGTCCTTTTCCCCCCCCTTCTTCTCTGTATCGCGTTATTTAATTTTGTGATGAGTTTCCAACGTCAAACAGTGCAGGGCATTGGGGTGGAGGGAGGGGGGCCCGGGCTCCGCTTTTTTTACGCAATTTTGCAGCTTTTCTTGAAGCTGTCAAGTCAAACAATCAGGAAATAATGCAGTGTTGGTTTGTAAATTATAAACGTGTCAAGAGATGCTGTGAGCGCACTGACAGATGCCACTTATCAGAGGCTTCCTCTGCACTGTGACTGTATCATCAGAGGGGAAATATAACGTACTGATGTTTACATAAGAGAAGTATTAGTATCAGTCACAAATGTAATTCCTTTCAGGCGTCCCTCTCGTGTTGGATTGACTACCCGAAGAAACATACAATGATTTTTCTTCTTCTTCTTCTTCCTTTTAAAGCCAACAAAACAAAAAAAGAAAAAAAAAAAGGGTAGAAAAGCCCCCTCGTTGATCTTCTGTCCATTTCCAGCATCACTTCTTGTATATTTTTTTGGTTGGAAATCCTCTTAGAATGCAAAGTAAATAGATTACGATACAGTGAGGGATTAGAGCTCGCGCGGCGCTGTCAGATTAGTCGGCGAGAGCAGCGCGTCGACAGCTCTGACACGGCTGTGGCTGCTAATCAGGAAAGGGGCTCTCCGCGCGATGGATGCTTTAAAGGCGCTGGCTGGCTCCCGTTCATGAATAAAACTACGGCCCGTAATCTCAGCCAAAACACACACACTTACAAAACACACACACGTGTGCAGGGGATGTTTTCACTGTCCACTATCGCTGCAAAAAAAGGCGCTTAGTGGAAGGTTTGGATATGTTTACAATAGAAAAAATAAAATAGAGTCCTGTCAGATAATCAGCCACATTTTTATTGGATTGTTCTAAAAAATAAAGATATTTAAACTCCTCGACGTTTGATTGTGGACATTAGGTTTTAACAGGTAAGTTTCCTTTTTTCAATTAAAACCATCCAGGTAGGCTTCATGAACTATTGTATCCCAGCAGATTATTTGGGAATAAAAGTCTTTTTTTTTTTTTTAAACCATTCCCAAATGAACCAAATGAAGCGTCCCAGGGTCGTCCTCATCCTGAAAGTAAATAAAATACAGAAACAACTTTTACCAACACATGAAAATAACATTTCCATCTGTTGTGGATCATTTCACTCTTATCAGATCTTATTATTTGACAGAAATCTCATAATTTATAATAAATGATTCTGTTAGATTAACAAATGAAGGCATGATAAAGAGCAAATAAAGCTGTTTTTGTTTTAGAAAACATGAAAAAATTGATTCAAATCTGACATTTATATATAAAACCCTGTTTGCAAAATGATAAAATCCAACAATAATTGCAATGACTTGCATTAATGTCTAATATCTAAAAATATTTCTGCATAACAAAAAAAAAAGTTATAAAAAGCATAACCTGGACATCGAAAACAAAGAAAATGGATTTAAACCTTTATTTTCATGTCAGCATGGTTGAAGGTTTTATAATAAATGCCTCAATATTTGCACTGAAACACACATTTAAAGGAAGGACACTGTTTACCTGCATAAAGTATTAATATGTGTTTGCATTTTGTCACATTAGTCACAAACTTCAGGTTGTTTTAGTTGGAATTTTGAAGGACAGGCCAACCTCACGTAAAATCAGGTGGCTGCATTTTCCTCATCCCATGTGAATTGACCATGTTTCGTCTGCATGTGAAGTGTGACTGCAGAGCGTTGGTTCTACCTTGGGTTCAGGTGTGGAAACAGGGACGCTTCTTAAAGGCGCAGGACATCTGACCTCCAGGACAGGATCTAACCGGACTTTATAATTCTTTGTTCTGCTGAACCTCCAGTCTCTTCTGAAGCCTCCTGATCTGGACATGTTCATGTCTTACATAAGCATCCCCACAGCATGACACTGCCACCACCATGTCTTACTGTTGGGATGGTGATGAACAGGGTTTGATCTAATCCAACCTGAGCTCCTTTTTACCCTAAAAGTCTTGTACCCAGCTTTAATCATGGCTTCCTCTGGTTTTCTTTAAACAACAGAGACTTTCTTCCCTCTATAGTTCTACAGATGACAGATTTGTGAGGCGGATTGAGTAAACCACCAAAACACAAATCTCCACACGCTCCGATCTGACCCGTTTGAAACATACCACTGAACTCAAGCTGTTTATGTCAGCAGCAGAGATCACGCAATAACAGGCCGATTTATCCACACAAACCTAAGTGAATGCAGAACTTTAGCGTTATCTCCATGAACTGAAATAGTTTCATTTTTATGTCCCCATTTTGACCACTTTACTTTGTACAGCGCCTCACTTCCTGTCCGGTCACGATGCAGCGTAGCTCTGACCTCTGATCCTTCACCTGACATACGGTCGCAGGGACTCGCTCACAGTCAGTCCCACTCACATCAGAATGTTTCCACTTCTACAGACCTCATAAAAGCTCATTTTTATACCAAATGCTGCTTTTCGAGACAATGCTTTCCATGTGGGAGCAGTGAGTTTAGGAGGAGGGAGCTGGTTTTAAAACCCTGATTTCCAATGAATCCACTGAAGTGATGGGCAGTAATGTGACAAAATGCGGCGTGCTTCTCCATCAGTCGGTCCACTTACATCGCCTCCATCTGCGTCGCCTCCACTGCTTCCTGCATAAACACAAAAGCACTACTGTTGTTTCACTTCAGCATCAAACAGGGACGATCACAGCCGCTTCACATGTTCGCTCAGAGTCCAACGCATCGCCTTCCTGCCTTCTAATAAACGTAAAGAAATGTCACTTCTGGAGATCTCCCTTTGCTTTGAGCTCATCGTTAATAAGGCTGTGATTGACATTAAAACCCGGCATGCCTTAAACAGATATTCAAGCTGCTGATGCTAATTCCCCCCCACCCTTCAATAGCATACAGTCGGGATTATAAAGCGAATAAAGCGACAGAGTGATTTGGTACAGAGGCGATTGCTCAACGTAAATAAAATGGAATGACTAAACTGTAAAGAGCAGGAGGGAGACGAGAGACAGAAGAGATGTTTTTCTTAATGGATGTTTCCCTAAAAGACCGGCTGATGATCTCAGACATTTGAAATAAAAGCACTCAGGCCACTTTTAGAGAGGCCGTATAAGCAGGACGCCGCCTGAGAACCCTTGGTTTGGACGCTTTAAAAGCTCTGAGTCCTCAAAAAGTGTTTACAAATCTGTTTAAAAGTATTTGCCAGCTTACAGATTTCATGTTTGCTTTTTTCTCCTCACACCTACATGTTTTAGCCAGTCTAACAGATCACATGGTGTTAACCTTTTATTAGTTGTGAATCGACGACTCATTCAGGAATCTGAGCCCAGAATATCATCTACAGGCCTCATTTCTTCACTTTTAATGCTGAGATGGAAATGGGGGAGAATGAAGGCTAAACCTGCCGCTGACCGGCAGGAACAGAAAGGTCCGTCACATGTTAGCCTCAAAACCTTAAATGATCCCCGACTCTTTGTTCTGCAGACTGACAGGAAAAGGTTTTAACCTAACTACAGCCAAACATGGAGGTCAGGGGAGCCTTTGCTGCAACAACATCCAGCAGCTTAGTGGCTAAAGAAATAAAAGTGCCTAATCAAAGCTTAGACTATGATGACTGATATGCTGCATATTAAGCAGTGATGTAAAAAAAAACCTTCCTAATCATCACAAACACCTGATGTTGCTATCAAGTGTCAAAAAAGTGAAATAAAATCGATGATCTAAAACATTTTAAGGCAAAAACTAAAACAGAGGAACATTGGAAAGGGGTTGAAATCCCTCTTCAAACCGCTGCACATCTCTATTTAATTTAAGTGCTTTTATTTTGTGCTTCCTACCATAGAGGACCCACCTGTGTGACTCAGCGTCCGGAGCAGATCTGGACTGACGACCACATGGATGGACTCGGCCTGTGCTCTCCTCTGTGGGCGCCGCTCATCAGCTCTAAACAATGTCAATAACAGAGCTGGATTAGTTGGTCATCTATCAAACATAACAACTTCAGTATCGGATCAAACATTCTAACATAAGATAAAAAAAAAAAACTGCTTTACTGGGGACAGAGCTATGAGTTCAGGTAAACTACAGCTCATCAGTTTACAGCCTGTTTTTATAAACTTTAGTGGGAATTTCCTGATTTCTTTAAGTACCAAACCTTATAATTATGTCTTGATTAACACTATTTGATGTTCTGACAATAATGAGATCAGAACCTAGTTTCATAGCTGCAGGAATGAGTCCTCAGAGGCTGTGGCAGGTGGTGGATATGGTAGCAAGGTCTTCAATGGCATCCCTCACTTAATCTACATCTTATCCCCTGATGTATGTATGTATATATATATATATATATATATATATATATATATATATATATATATATATATATATATATATATATATATATATATATATATATATATATACATTTAGATACAATATGCATCTAATTATAAGATGAAATAGCGAATAAAGCATGAAAATAAAATATATCACACTCATCAGAGATGCTGATTATTTCTAAACAACATCCATCCTTCTGTCTTTGTGAAGGAAGCTTAGCCGAGATGGAGTAGGGGAGGCATTATAACGCCGCTGCTCTCTCTCGTTTGGCTCGGCCAGAAAAGAGCAGCGGCGTTATAATGCCTCCCCTACTCCATCTCGGCTAAGCTGCCACATGCTTCACATGAGAAACAATGAAACTTCATTGGAGACCAGATTACAGAGAGAGGGGGGGGTTCAGAGTAATTTTTCCTCTAAAGGAGGAGGGGGGAGCTTTGTTTCCTCTTCTCCCAGGCCATTGTCTTTGGGGGATCTGCCTTCTTTGCCTGTCGGCGAAGTAGACGAAGGCCTGGGGTTCGTACGGTTGAGATTCTGGCACCAGATCCCCTTATTTTTTATATTTTTCTCCTCTTTGCTTCTTTTAGTGTTTTTAAAAAAAAGAGCTTAGGCCACAGCATCTCTCTTTACCTCTCTCTGGACCCAGATTGCTTAAATTGGAGGGGATTTGGGAAGGATGGAGGAGGCTTAGTGTGTGTGGGGGGGTGGGGGGTGAGTTCAGAGAGTCATCACTGTTACAGTCAAACAGCCATGAAAGCCTACGAGGATGAAGAGGACAAGAGAGCCTTTTTATCTAAAGCACGCAAATCCGGTATAAATGCTCTGATATGTTAGATGGAGTATCCATCACTCCCATCCGCATGCTTCAATCTGTGTCTTCACTCCTATTTGTTGTAAAGTCTGATTTTAGGAGGGAGGAAGAATGGGACCAGTGGGCTGACTGGAAGCGTTACGAAGTGGAACTGTGGCTTTGACATTTGAAGTTTCACAGGGGAGAGGGAGCCGATTTAGGCTGCGCTGCGCTCATCTGGTCACTTCTACGAAGCATAAACACACCATGATGAATCTCTGAGCCTTCAGTCATCCTACAGGTCTCTGTGGGGTCTGAAAATCCAGCCATGCTGCTGTAAACACACAGTCGGTCATAAACTTCACTTAAATGTTTTGGAAAATCTGTTAAATTTTAGCATCTAGCAAAGATAAGAAGATTCAACAGCAAACGCAGTAAGGATCACTAAATGATTGCAGGCAGTTCTTAAATTCATAGTCTACCACCTCTTCCAGCCCCTGAAAGAGGCTCCAGAGCATCACTCTACCACCACCATGTATGGCAGTAGGTCTGATGGTCTTTTTCTGAAGGGCTGTGTTACTCCTGTTTCTCATACTTTCATTTAAAAATGGCCACGCATAATGATCAGAGACCGTTTGCTCCTAAAGTGGGTGGTGTATAGACACACAGTGGAAACAAACAGATTTCACTCAGGAAAACTCACAAAATCTCTAGAGATCAAACGTGAGCTCAGATTAAATAAACGTGGCCAACTAGGTCAGTGAGGGCGGGGCCTGAGTCAGCCGTTCATGTACTTACGTTTTGGGGGTCTCTGAGGGAGAAGGGCCTGAAACCGCGACGCTACCCTCTGCTCCTCCTCGACTAAAGCTGGATCCACATAGACCGCTCCTGTCTCTCTGAAGATCATCTGGCAACAAACATGAAAACAAACAGTTTAACAATGAATAACAGGAGCAATTATCACTTAAACTCTTTAGTGTATGTGATCCATTGAAGACAAGACAACTAATATTGGGGAATTCATAAATGAAAGGATGAGTTGTTACATGTAAGGAAGACACCAAAGATGTGGAGGAACCAGCTCTGTCGAACAAGAATAAAACTTTTTAAAAACACTACATGCGACAAATAACCGATTTACACTAAACAGATATGGTGGTGGCAGCATCATGCTGTGGGAATCCTTGTGTTAAAGAGGGACAGGAAATCTGAAAATACAAGTTGAGCTAAAACCTGAGTAAACCTGCTAGAAAGATCTTTATATGCATTAACACCAGTTTTCTGCCTGGTTGAACTTCACATATTTTTCCTCTCTCTTCTAAACATGAGAAGGGAAACCATCATCAAATACACCATCGGACACCAGCATCGATTAGCGCAGTGGTTCCCAAAGATTTTCTTCTGGGCCCCCCTTTGGATTACAATAAAATTGCCACATTGAAACTGAATTGAAATTGCCACATATTTTAAACATATTTCTTTTTTTTATTTGTAACAATATTTAACTTTGCTATAATCTATACATTAAAAAAGCCTCTGTGCAAAATGGAGTGAAAACATTGAACAGCTCCCTGAGAGTTTTTTCTTTGTACTTTAATCCTCCCATCTTTTCAGTGGCTGTAGTGAGCCTGCTTGTTGCTGCAGATCTTCTCAAATCTGGGTTGCATTGTTACAACTGTCCATTATGCTCAGTCAAGCAAGCGCTGTTTTTTTTTCTTTTTTTTTTTCTTCATTCATCCATACCGCTTCCCGCGCCCCCCCTGCAATGGCATTGCACCCCCCCTAGGGGGCGCGCCCCACACTTTGGGAACCACTGGATTAGCGAGTGTAACTATAAATTTACTGGTTCCTCTAAACTGTTCCATAGTTGCTGGACCTCGATTTTACAAAACAATGCTGGTCCCACAGATCCACTCCCAGTTCTAACAGTACCACCACCTGCTCCAGGAGGTGCAGCTGGATGATCGACTCCAGCGGTTCAGGATCCAGTGTCCATGGCTGCTGTCTTATTTAAAGAGATAACATATGAGCTTTTAGTAACAAAAACCTCCATCTCCTCTGCACATTATAACCTGATGAAACGACCACATCCAAGCCCTACAGTGGTTAACTTAATGCCACATGAAGGGACAGAAAAAAGTTATTTTTTGGAATTCCAGGGAAATCGCTTTGTTCTGTCTGCATTGCCGCATGGCTCCGTTTGCATCACTCAAAACGTCATATGTGCATCGACAATCACTCCATAACACAATAACACGTAAATCCCTGGGCAAATTCACGTTTGGTGTGTATGAGGCTGTAAGGCTACACAACTCGGTTGGAAATCCACCTTCCAACAGGTAATTTACCCTAAAGACACAGCTAAAGGTAAATATACAAGCTCAAGACATAAATAAAATGTCTTGTTCTGACTCTAGAAGGACATTTTTCTGCTGCTCTGCAACTCCCTGACCTCCCTGATCTGTCTCTGCTTTGCTGTGTCTTGTCGTTTCTGAGCTCTCTCTTCATATCAGCCAAACTCAAACAATGGATCTGGTCAGGTGGTCTCTCAATGCAATTGTCCTGTCCTGCCGGGATATACTTCATGGGATACACCATGGACTCCTGGAAGGCTTGGAGGATGGTGTGTTTTACAATGCTGTCAGTGGAGGATATTGAAGATTTATGGATTTTCAGATTTATGATACTTGGATTTGCTGATGGGAAATTCCTGTGCAGCCTGCTCTCGAAACAATAAGTGTTATTCTGGATTCGGCCTCCCTCCTTATCAAAATCTCCCCTAGATGTTATGGCGAAAGGGCACAGAAGAACCTCTCCCTCCCCAATGTGTCTCCTATCTTTCCACAGAATAAAGGCAGTGTTATAGGGAACCACCTATGGGTTGTGGGCCTGGGCAGCCATAAGAATGCGCCAAAGGCAGCGTTCTTTAGCACACGTGGCCTCAGTAAACCGTTCCCCCTCTCAGCCCCCCCACCCACCCAAATGTATGTGATAAACGGTTTGCCACAGCATCTCTCTTTACCTCTCTCTGGACCCAGATTGCTTAAATTGGAGGGGATTTGGGAAGGATGGAGGAGGCTTAGTGTGTGTGGGGGGGTGGGGGGTGAGTTCAGAGAGTCATCACTGTTACAGTCAAACAGCCATGAAAGCCTACGAGGATGAAGAGGACAAGAGAGCCTTTTTATCTAAAGCACGCAAATCCGGTATAAATGCTCTGATATGTTAGATGGAGTATCCATCACTCCCATCCGCATGCTTCAATCTGTGTCTTCACTCCTATTTGTTGTAAAGTCTGATTTTAGGAGGGAGGAAGAATGGGACCAGTGGGCTGACTGGAAGCGTTACGAAGTGGAACTGTGGCTTTGACATTTGAAGTTTCACAGGGGAGAGGGAGCCGATTTAGGCTGCGCTGCGCTCATCTGGTCACTTCTACGAAGCATAAACACACCATGATGAATCTCTGAGCCTTCAGTCATCCTACAGGTCTCTGTGGGGTCTGAAAATCCAGCCATGCTGCTGTAAACACACAGTCGGTCATAAACTTCACTTAAATGTTTTGGAAAATCTGTTAAATTTTAGCATCTAGCAAAGATAAGAAGATTCAACAGCAAACGCAGTAAGGATCACTAAATGATTGCAGGCAGTTCTTAAATTCATAGTCTACCACCTCTTCCAGCCTCTTCTCAGCCCCCCCACCCACCCAAATGTATGTGATAAACGGTTTGTACTGAAACTGAAATCTCGATTACAATGTAAATTGTAGTTTACAATAACGAAATTGAGTTATTGATTGATTGATTGATTAAAATGAAAATAAAATTGTGCAGAAAATATTGAAGATCAAGCTCTTTGATGATCTAGACCTAAACAACGGGAAAGAGAGTCATTTAGAACAGAAGCGTCCTAAGTTTAGACCTCTTTATGTTGAGGAGAAGCAGCTCTTCCCCGAGCCTCTCCTAGATGGCCAACCGTAGGAAGCTAATATCTAGAATCCAAGGTCTCTTTCTTTAGGTGATGACAAATATTTTACAACCAAAGGTGAAGGTAGGACCTTAATCCAGCTGGTAAATCAGGAGGGTCACCTTTTGGCTCAGCTCGCTCTTCACCGCAGCAGCAGAAACAATCAAGGCCTAGACCTTGGATCCAGCCTTGGATACACAAAGCTAAACCATTAGGTAGCGATGAAAGATCTCAGTTACCCTTCTTGAATCGCCATCTCAACTTGGTGAAGACATATGAGAGGAACACCAAACTTTCCATATGGTTCTTTGTAAAAGATGTTTAATGCCCTTATTTCCCTTCCACTTCACACTACTTTATGTTGGTCTATCACATAAAATCTAATGTATTTGCCATTGGCGGTTAAAAGGCTGCAAAATGTGAGCAGGTTCATGAGCTAGGAATACTTTAGCGAGGCTTTGTCGGTGAGAGTGAGCTGCCACTTGGGAGAATTTCTAGATTGAGACAAGAAGTCAAACAGTAATGGAGGATGTGCAAACAAAGCAGCTGGAAAAGAGAGCAGAAACAACCACGTCTTTCCCTCAACGCACAGCGGAGCTAACAGGCTTTCAGCGGAACAACAAAGAGAAGATAGAAAGGCAGAGAGGAGGTGGAGAAGTGGATCTTCAGATAAAGCTCTCTCCCCTGCCCGTTGAAAGGCCCTGCAGTCACATCAGCCTTTGTGAGGGGGAGACACGACCAGCGTAAAACCCAGTTGGCTTTTCCACTTGGCACTGCGAAGGAATAAAAAAAAAAAGAGCGACAGAAGGGGAAAGAGAAAGGCCTTCCCTCGCACTTGTTCGCTGCTCTGCCTCTTACAGCGCCATATCAATTCAAATCAGCACACTTGTCAGCCAGACGGCTATAAGCGATTTCCAAAGCTGTTATGAAACGGAGCATTTCTAAGCTGCGATCCGTGTTCTCTATTGTGCACTTGTGTGCGTACAAGCGGCGGCAGAATCTCTGCGGATCGGGACTTACAATCAATGCACATAAATACGAGAGGAGATGCAGAGAAATGTGGCATCTATCACTGGCATCCACTGTAAACAACCACTCAATCTGGTACTGAGTCAATTCTTAAAGAAAAAAGACATGCAAAATGATCTAAACAGGATGGTGTTACATCTTTTAAATGCAAATCGTCTCAGTTCTCTTTGGTTTTTTCAAGAAGATACAACATCAGCAATTATTGCTTCTGCTCTATTCGTCTGCAACTAGTTCAGTGGCTGCATCTCACACCTGGAGTAAAACCCTCTTCACACACAATCAACATTCTAGCTGGCTTGTTTTTACTTTAATAAACAACTGCTACATGCTTTACAAAGACATGATGATCAGAGCTCAAACCCAGAGGAGTATTATTTATTTGTCTTATCTCTTCTGATTTAAGCTGTAATGGTGCTTTTTATGATGACATATGTAAGTAGGAAGCATCTCAAGAAGAACTCAAACTGGAGCCAATATGCACACCTCCAAACTGCATTGTGAAAACGTTTGGAGGCGGCTTAAAGCACACAGGAACAGGCGATATATGCATAAAATTTAAAAGTCAAAATGTTTCTCTGCAGCTACATGCCTATAGAGATCTTGTTTTCAAAACAAGCTAATGCGTTTAAATGGAAAAGAAAAACTGCTTTATGGAAGGAGTTGGCTAATTAAGTAACAACTTAAATATGAGTTTGTTTAGTCTAAAATGAACTTTACTTTGTTCATGCTGGTAACCGGTTGCACCTTCACTGTTCTACATATATGGCACTGATAATGCAGCTCTGTCAAAACAACCTGATATTTAGCCCAGGCCTCATTTGCTGCTTCCCCACTTTGTCTTGCAGACTCATTTTTCCAATTTTCAACGTTTTTTGTTGAGTTATTTTTTGAGACAGCCGATAAAGGAGTCCATGTTTATGCTAAAGGAAAACAATGCATCAGTAAGAAAAGACTTTACAAACATAAAGCTGTAAAAGCTACAGTGTGCCTCCCTTCACCATCCAATCACCTCTAACCTGCAGCAGTAAAATATTCCACAGCATGACGGCGCCACTACCCTGTTTCACCACAGGGATGGTGCATTCACTGTAGTTTACAAGATATTAATTTTCCATTAAATAAAAATAAAACATTAGATCGTTCTTCCAACCATATTTCTGTCCTGGCTGCTTTTCCGACTGCAGTTTTATATCCTCACCCCTTTCAAAACCACCTCATAATATTATAACGTTTCTTCCACAGCACATATATATGCACTATGTTTATCACATGAAATCCAAACAAGTATGTTAAGCATTTATGACTGTAAAACATTTAAACAAAATACAAAAAAGCACTTAAACTCTTGCAGGAACTTCTGTTAGGTGTGTAGAAATGACACCCGTTATCAGAAGAAGGTCAGAAAGACCCAATCGGAATCAGTGTTATGGTTTTATTTATCTCATGAATCGTCAAACTCTTAAACTGCCTGTTTCTTTGGTGAAAACATATCCATGACTGATTCTATTTAATCATAAATTAAATGTAAAAATAAAGAATTAATTCAAATGTTACACTTCTCTGTCCATAGCTGTAAGACCTATTTATGTTTGTGACTAGTATTAAACTAATCCAGGCTATTTGAAGTTTTCTTGAAGAAAAAGACAAATTTGGTTTATTTATAGTTATAATTATTAAACTGTATTGATCTCACATTGGAGAAATTTATCTCTGCATTTAACCCATCCCCTTGGGGAGCGGTGGGCTGCCATCATGGGGCGCCCAGGGAGCAGTGTGGGGTTAAGGGTCTTGCTCAGAGAGCCAGAGTGTCATTCAGTGGGAGTGGGGCTCGAACTCAGAACCTCAGGAATCCAAGCTCTATAGCCTATCCACTAGGCCGCCTCTCACTTGTGGAGTTTAGGAGCTTTTTCAATTAGAATCATCCAGAATAGAGACTGACAAGGCCTGAAAAACAGGAAAACTCTGAAAATAGATTTTTTTTTAGACACCCTGAGGAAATAGTTATTATGACTGAAGACAATGAGATAGTAATATAAAGGACAGAGTTTCAACCACATTTAAATGAATTAAACAGAAAAAAGAAGTGTAATAAAAGCAGAATAAGAAGAAAACATGACAAAAGCAGGACCATAAATAATAATACCTCAGTTAACAGGTGAACAGTCAAAGGCACTTCAAAGAAAATGGGCTTTTAACTTTGACCTGTTAACTTCCCCTACTGTTGCTTTCCCTCAGTTCACTCACTGCTTTTAACTTTCCTTCACCTCCCTGCAGGTTATTCTGCTGATGGTAAATGTGTGCATGTGAGGGTGTTAAGTGAGACACCTGTTCACTGGGGCCCTGCGCTTGAAGAGCAGCCCTTATTATTGATGACCTGCCTTTCACGTGCTGTTGATATGCACACTTACACGCCAGCAGACTGCACACACGCCACTGAGGTTTTAAAGACGGAGAGTAGGTTACTGTTCCTTATGGACTAGCATAATCAGTGCCTTGCAGTTGTTTCTATGCACTCTGAGGCTGGAAAAAAAAAAAACACAGATCCACACTGATGATCCCAAAATCTGGAGCTGTGAATGGAAGTATTCAGGTTTGGACTTTATTCAGTGGAAGCAGGTTTGTATTTGCATATTTTTTATTCTAAATAAGCTTAAGTGTAAATACTGACATTCCTCGTTACTTTGATCATCCGTTTATTTTTTTTTAACATTATGCTCCATCATGTTTCATTTGTGACGGAAAAGATTGACACACAGATTGAAACTGAACGATTTTACCTTAAAGCGTCAATAAAAACGATGACAATCTTCAGCTTATAATCTCCTAAAACATCTGCTTTATTTAATAAAGAAAAATACGATCACTGTCAGGAACAAACGCTTTGACGCACAAATAGGTATAACGCTGCAACCCATTCACTTCCTGTATGACTTAAAATCAATCAAATGCACCTTCTTTTCTTTTATTTTTGTCCTAAGACCAAAAATGGAACCATTCAAAGTTAGGAATTTGGAAGAAACTACAGCTTTTTAAAAAATAAGTGAAAACAAATCTAATTCTATCAGTAACTGAAAACTGTTTTTTCTGTTTTTACCAAAGTTAAAACCAAGATGTAACTAAATGTAAGTACTGAAGTACAGTTCATCATCCTTTGATATCGTATAACCGTAGAAAAGATCTCATCCAACATTAGCATCAGCCCAGAGTCTTAAATCTTTGTTATATTTTAATGTTGACATGATATTTATGTTTTTTTTTTATATATCAGTCCTTCCATCTATCCCTCCTCTTTCCACCTGTGTCCCTGCCTCCCTGCTCCACAGTGCTGCTGTCCAAGGATAGGACATGCTGCGGGTGATGGAGCTAAATCATCGAGGACATAATTAAGGGAGCTTATGAAGGAGGGGGCGTGTGCGTGTTAAGCATCACATTAGTAAAATGAAAAAAAAAAAGGGAAAACAGATGCAAAAAAGGCCTTAGAGTTACACAAATGCTCATTTTCATTCCCAGCCAGGCAGACGAGACGGTCAGCCTGGGGGGTTTGACCTTATACGGTGGAGTTAAATAGCTCATCAGCGAACACACAAACAAGCCTGCGCAGCCGTTCTGCTGCGCTTTTAAGCATCAATGAAGGACTCATCCGACATGTTCATCTAGTTCCCTCGCTGAATGTTTTTCTGTCCAGCCGTCGGCCCTTGAAGCCTCTGTGAGGACTGAGTGTGTGTGTGAGAATGTGTCTGTAATCAGGAACTCGGCTTGATCCCCTCTGGTATGTGCTTTGGGGAGTGTTTGTCAAAGGCCAGCAGCACAGGCTGAAAAAAAGAGAAAGGAACTCGGGGCCTTGGTTGAGTTTTTCTCCCATGCTGGGTTACACAGAAAAAACTTTCATCTCATGCCTCACATTAGATGTTGTGCAGATTTTAAAGTTTCTATGTAGAAGGGAGGAAGAAAAGCACGGCAACCTGTTGTGTGTTTTTTGCGGCCAAATCTTTTATTCAAACGTGATCTGATTTGATTCTCATTTGATTCTTCCTTCTTGCTGGTAAAAGGTATCTCAGCTGTGTCACCAGGGCTGAGCTGTCATTCAGATGTAAGGAGGAATAATGGGCTTTATTTTATTTTTTATTAAAAAAAATTTTTTTTTTGGTGACAAGTGATTATTTTCTTACCGTTGCCTGCGATGGCCCGGGCTTCGATTTCATTAGCCTTCCTCTTGGCCACGTCCGCGAGCACCACCTCGCCCTTATCACTGGCGACATAATGGAGGTCCTTTGAGGGTAATGCAGGAAAGAAAGAAATGTGAACGTTAATCTAAAATGAATCTAGACTCAGATGACAATAGTTTTTCCTTTTTTTTTTAATGGAGGGGTGGCTGCGGTATTTTGGCAGGAGGGGAAAGAAACAGATGAAATAAGAAGCAGAAAAAAAATAAAATGAAGCCCGTTTGAAGTCCAACATCTGAAACGACACCGGTTTGGATAAAATGCCGCTTCCTCTAAAGAAAAAAAAACTTTGAAATCAGCCTTCTTGCTGCCTGTGCCTCAAACTACACACACACACACACACACACACAAACACACACACACACACACACACAAACACACACACACACACACACACATTTTTTAAACAGGGCTGGATGTTATCAGCCCCATTTCAAAAGTAGGAGAGGAACTGCTCACCTTCTCATATCCTCCTTTTACAAGGAAACACATCCAGCCGAGCATATTATTATATCAGCCGGTCACAATATTAGAAACAGCGTGTATCCTCTGTATCTCTCTGTTTGAGCCTCAAATGCTCCTAAAGGGAGATAATATGGCAAAACATTCGTCATTTACTGCACAGCATCTGACTTCTGGTGCTCTGCTCCGATGTCTGAGGCTGAAAACCACCTTTTCAAATAAGCTAAATAATAATAACAAAAGATGCTTTCATTGATATATCGCTGTTGGATGTTATTTTCACTGGAAGTACTGGACATTTTTTTTTTCTAAATGGTAGATTGATTTTGAATTGATAAAAAAATATTTACTTAGAGGGTGAACAAACAAACATCTGCATCAATTTCATAGAATTTAGTTGTAAAAACAGTCAGTTTATAGATATTGTAGTTTTTTATTTTGCGTTTTCATTTATTTCATAATTAATTTGGATTTTTAAGCCCCTACTCTAGCTTTTTTCTTACAATTACTTCATACTGTATGTATATATTTAAACAATATCTATAACTGTATAATTGAATGATTGTGTTAGAAAACTAGTATGAAGACATGAAACATATTTAATCATATACCTTCTCCTTCCTAATGGCCTTAACATAAATTATCTCCTTATTCCTACATTATTCATGAGTCCATATTACTCAGAAGTCCATTAAGTGAACAAAGAAATTAATAAATTTGATCATAAAACTGGTCAGGACTCTTTAGCCAAAGCGGATGATATGTCATCATCTGCCAGCAGTAGGTAGGAAGAGGGTCCTTTATGTTTCTTATCATATTCCCTTAGCATGGGGAGTTTGCAAGGTTCCTAACTAGCTGCTAAGGAACTATTAGTTTTATAAGCAGAAGTATAGTCCTAATTTGACAAGCATCAGCTATGTGTGTTTTCCATATGTAACAACTTACAGCTTATAATCTGCTGTATTTCAAACTAGAATTTCAGCTAAAAACATAATTGGGAAACTCAGTCTTGGTGGTAAAATAATGTTTTGTATTTTGAACGCAGGATTAATGAAATTCATCAGACTGAAATTTTTAGAACCAACCCCCTTTTTTTACAATGTCTACATGGCGACATAATTTTTTTTTGTAGAAACATGAATGTGTGGATAATGTTTCCCCTCCTTGAACTGCCACCTTAATGTAGTGGAGGGGTTTCAGTGCCTGGATGATCCCAGAGGGTATGTGGTGGGGGCTACATTGCCCTTGGTAGGCAAATAGGCTCTGATTGACAGGTCAGGAAAAAAAGCGGTTCGCAAAGCCCCATGATAAGTAAAAATAATAATTAATAATAATTGAAACTTTATTAATCTCGCACTGGAGAAATTCCCCTCTGCATTTGACACATCCCCTTGAGGAGAACTCGGCTGCCACTGTGTGGCGCCCTGGGAGCAGTGTCGGGTTAAGGGTCTCGCCCAGGGACCCAAAGTGCAAGTTGTGGGGATAGAACCGGGTACTTGCAACCTTCTCATAGCACAAGTGCACTGCTCTAACCACAAGGCCAACACTCCCCTGAGGAGTGGCAGGAGATGTTGCACGGTGTGGAGCAGCCGTGGTCCCATCCTGGAGCCAGTCCTGGGGTTGGGGTTCATTGACAAGCACCTTGTGGTGGAGGAGTGATAGGAGTCCAAAGTTGCGAAGAGGATTGGGTGTCAATCAGCGGCAGAGGCGACCCAGTGCGCGGGTGCTAAGGCTGACTGTGTGCATGTGGAATGTCACGTCGCTGATGTGGAAGGGGCCAGAGCTTGTGCAGGAGGTGTAGTGATACCAGCTAGAAATAGTTGGGCTCTCCACCATGCATTGCATGGTCTCTGGAACCCAGCTTATTTAGGTCTGGGACATTGCCCTTGGTTTGACATGCGGAAGTGGTGGTTCCCCTGCATAAGAAAGGGGAATGGAGGATGTGTTCCAACTATAGGAGAGTCTGGCTGATGGTCGAACCTTGGCTTCAGGAAGAGCATGTGGTTCTCCTACTGGCCGTGAAACATCTCTACACCCTCTGAAGGGTGATTGAGGCTTCATGGGAGAATGCCTAACCAGTCCACAAATACTTTATGGTCCTCGAGAAGGCATGGGGAACTTTGCAGCCAAGTGTGAAGAAGCTGGGAGGGGAATCAGCTCCTTGAAGTCCAAGGCCATGGTTCTCAACCGCAAAAAGGTTGCTTGTCCCCTTCAGGTTGAAGGAGAGTTTGTGCCTCAAGCAGAGGAGTTTAAGTATCTGGAGGTCCTGTTGATGAGTGAGGGGAGAATGGAGTGGGAGATCGAATTGGTGCGGCTGCTGCTGTAATTCAAACTGCCGTGGTGAAGAGTGAGCTGAGCAAAATGGCAAAGCTCTCGATTTACCGGTTGGTCTACGTTCCTACCTATGGTCATGAAATCTGGATCATCCAGAAAGAACGAGATCCCAGATACAAGCGGCTGAACTTAACTTTCTCCGCAAGGTGGGGGTACTCCTTTAGAGATAGAAAAGGATTACGCTGAGGTGTCTTGGACATCTTTTTTCAGATGACCCTTGGATACCTCCCTCAAGAGCAATAAAAGTGAAACGATGCATAGAAAAACAGGTAGACATAGGTCACTAAGATGGCCATTCAAAGAAGGAAGATTTTGTGCCTAGTCAGCTATCCCTTCATGATTAGGTCAAATGTTTGGTTTCCAGTTCTCGGATAGGGTCAAGCAGAACGTTTTTAAATCTTCTCAGAAAAAAAAGTTTACTTTGTGACGTTTGGGTGTGTGATGCTAAGGCATAAAGAGGTTCACTTGGTAAATCTCCCAAACAACCAGTCTTATTGTAAATATGTATATATTGTCTAATGGTTGCTATGGATTGGATGACTTTATGTTTCCACCCTTTCGCAATGTTTTCCGACATCGATCATTTTGCTCAATATCAGAGGTGGAGAAACATGCAGCCTTGTTAAAGAAATATTTAAATGAACGTTTTTGGCTGCAGAAAAGGGTTAAAATCATTTTTGGTTAACTGATTATTTCCTTAGGAACAAAATGTTTTCTGGTTGTTCCCATTTGTTTCCATTCCAGGTAAACAGGAATTCATTGTAATCATTATTTATTGGTTTCAACGTAGGCAAATTAATAAAAAATATAAATAATACCAGTTATATTTACCTAATATGATATATGATATGAATAAAAGTAACTTGAGTGGTGAGTTAAATTAACCAATAAAAGTTAAATGTATTTACCAAGTTTGTCAATAAGTGTTGAGGAAGCCTTATGTTGTTAATAAAAGATTTTTATCAGGGGAAACTGAAAGAATTTCATTATTTCTGCGGTTACAGTGAATGAAATGCTCATCCAGATAGCCAACAGGTGGCCGCTGCCAGAGTGCAGGGTCTGAGGGTTCATCAAAGAGTACAGCGCGTTAAGCAAAGTCTTCCGCCTCAGCAACATCACAGGACAGCAGTGCTATGACTCAGGGCTCGTCATGGATAACCCTCAGCTGGCTAAAGCCAGCCCCCAGCTGAGCCAGCACCTTAATACCCCCATATTGTAAACCCCTGACTCCCGCAATGGCAAGAAAAGGATAGAATTGGGGGGGTGGGGGGTGGCACTGGATCCCAAAAGATGTGTGGAGTAAAGAGGGGGAGTAAAGGGGAGTGAGAGAGGGGTGAGGAGCCTGAATAGGAACAGATTGGGTAATTATAGTGTGGTGCCTGGCCTCTGTGGAGTAGAGTTAGGAGGAAATGTGAAAATGGACGACAACAAAATGGCCTCTAAGATGCCTAAATCGGCTCCCAGGACTGAAGTGACAGATTCAGCCCCCACAAACGATGACTGAGGATTTTTAATTGACAACAAACAGAGCGGAGAAAACTGAGGAAGCAGGACATGGGGAAAGAAGGAGAGTAAATTAGAAAGGGAAAAAAAAAGAACGACAACGAGAGAGAGAGGATGAGACTGTGTGACAGACAGATCGGAACAATATGAACATTTGATGCTGAGGCGCTTTATTCCAGCTTAGCCCCTCATAATACTGTCTGAATCTGTAGAAAGAGACCCAGAGAAAGAATCAGTGAGTGAACAAACGCAGAATGAGGAGAGAGAGAGAGAGGCAGCAGTATCAGCCAGACTAAGAGGGGATAACAATAATACTGCATATAAAACCATCAGATATTACACCTCTTATTCCCTGACGCTCAAACGCGACACTAATCTTATTTATATAAGAGCTTTAGGGGTTGCAGAGAGCCAGCTAACTGCGCTGATAAAGAGGGGCGTTTTACTGGGCCGCTTTTTTTTTTTAAGGGAGCAGAGGGGAGGGGAAAGCAGTGGTGGACACTAAGAACTTGATATTGACTGATATTTGGGTTTCCTCCAAATAAACCAGGGATTAGGTAGACTGGCACGTTTTTCAGTTTGCCAAAGAGACAGGCTGGTGTTCTTTATGGAGTTATACCTAATGGCTGCGGGTTAGAGGGCAAAGATATACAGCCAATAAGGTGTGAGGTAATCTGCATCTAAAGCACATCTGGAAGATCCACTGATGTAGTCACAGAGCATCATGATAAATATTTCTGGTTTTAA